CCCAGGGAGGTGGTTGAGTCACCATCCCTGGCTGTGTTTAAGGGACGTTTAGATGGGGCACTGAGGGATATGGTGTAGGGGAGAACTTTAGAGTAGGGTAGATGGTTGGACTCGATGATCCCGAGGGTCTCCTCCAGCCTAGATGATTCTGTGAATACAAGATTCGGAGTGATCGGTCTCATTACCATCAGCTGCTGACCTGCTATTTAACATTTGATGAGTTTGATGCAAAGGCATTACAATTTCTTATGTAGTCTGGCCTGCGATGACTTAACAGGATTTTTTTGTTACAAGAAAGATAGTGAGGTGAGAAATAAATCTATATGGAGCACGTACCTACGGCATCGAGTATGGAACTTTGTCTTCTGTCTAGTTTTAGCCAATCCAGAGGAAGAAATAGATCAAAAGGTAAGTTTTCACCTACTAAACTCTTCTGATTTTGTGCTGGCAGGGCAATTTAAAATAAGTCTGAACTACTAGTGACTAGTGTTGTTTGCACGTGTTTAGAAAAATGGATTTCAGTCTCCATTGTTGATCCAACACCTTTCCTTGAGAGTGAACTGTCAAAATAACAAAAGCCACCATGTAATCCTTATGTTTCTTTTCTTGGCTCTGTACTCAAAAACTTTACCAACCTGTCAAAAGTTAGCGAGTCTGTAATTCGTGTGATTACATTTTGACTGTCAGCAAAAAGGCAGTTTACCTTTACTGGCTCCAGAGTGGCCGAGAAGGCGTCCTGCAGGGCGCAACACGCGAGTCTCCACATCTCTTCAGTGAACACAGGCCCTGCTGTCACCAACACGTACCTGCAAGGGCACAGGGAAACACGACCACATTCATGAAGGAACTGAACAATTCACATTTGGAATGGGGGAAGGTTGAAAAGAAAAAAAAAAAAGCCCTACTCAATAGCTAGCTCATGATACCTAATCTCCTCAGGTGTTACCCTGACCTATTTTTGTAATTACACTGTAGTTTTGACTTTTTTTTCCCTTTTGCTTTTCCTCTTTCAGTAGTCATCTTGCCAGGACAAAACCCACACGTTGTGTAACTATATAATGCAGTGCTTGTTTTGGTTATGACTCTAACAACCTGAAGACTGCGAAAGGTATTAATTACCTCTAAAGATCTGTGAATTCCAACAGAAAGATACTTGATTATTTTTCCTAAGGATTAATTATTGACTAACTGCATGTAAGCAATGTACAAGTGCTTTTCCTGGGAGCAATACACATAGCAATGCCTACAATCACAGGTTCTGAAGCAGAGAGAAAACAGCAAGAAAAGCTTAGTAAGTCTACAATTCATTATTTCAATAATGATAGATATATTGTAGACTTCTTTGTAGACACTGGGGTGCTGGAGGGGGTCCAGAGAAAGGTAACAAAGCTGGTGAGGGGTCTGGAGAATAAGTCTGAGGGAGCTGGGGGTGTTCAGCCTGGAGAAAAGGAGGCTGAGAGGAGACCTTCTCGCTCTCTCCAACTCCCTGGAAGGAGGGTGTAGCCAGGGGGGGTCGGTCTCTTCTCCCAAGGAACAGGCCATGGAACAAGAGGAAATGGCCTCAAGTTACACCAGGGGAGGTTCAGATTGGATATTAGGAAAAATTTATTCTCTGAAAGGGTCATCAAGCCTTGGATTGGGCTGCCCAGGGAAATGGTTGAGGCACCATCCCTGGAGGTGTTCAAAAGATGGGTTGACATAGAGCTTAGAGACATGGCTCAGTGAAGGTTTTGTATCAGTTAAGCTGACGGTTGGACTAGATCTTAAAGGTCCCTTCCAACCTAGACAATTCTATGATTGTATGGTTCTTCTGAGATGTTTGCCAACTTAATCAGTCCACAAGTTCTTCAAAGATACACAGACATCTTTTTTTTGAATATGCCAACTGGGCAAACAGACTGTGTTACCTGATACAAGAGCAGCCAACTCTGGAAATAATTTCTGTTGGTTCTGCTACACAGGCCACCAGCAGCTTGAAAAGATCTTTCAGCATAGTGTTGATCATATTTTCATAACCAATATCTGTAAGGAAAAGACACAGACTGGTTTTAACATCATTGCCCTAGAGACAAACAGTCTTGCTACACTTACTGCTATTCAGAGACTTTGCAAAACCAAATCTTTTTATGCAGGTATCGCTAGAGCTCAATTCTGAAACACACATCACATCAAACTGAAGTAAGAACAGTCCTTTTGATGTTAACAATATAAAATATCTGAGCTTAAGTGGTACTGGAGAAATTCTGTTAGATCCTGTTTCTGAATATTCTAGTCCTTTACGATCAAAGTCTTAGTACCTTCTTTTGGAAAGTATAATATAAGCTGTGATGTTTTAATTTTGAATATAGCCCTGCTGAGAGGAGAATGGACTAAATAATTTCCCTAGGCCCCTTACAAGTTAATTTTTTCCATAACTCTAAACTCTGTAAAAAAAGAAAAAAAAAAAAGCCCAAGCAAACAGAAATTTTCAACCCTCTTCCTCTTATTTTCTGCTTGAGTAACCAAAAAGCAATTACAGCATCTCCCCATCCAGTACCACACCACTGATGGCTGTCAGTAGAGGTGACAGTGCAATGAGGTACCTGAGTGTATGAAATTCTGGATGTGCTCCACGACGAGCTCACAGGAAAGGCCGATGGCGTGCTTGAAATTAGCAGATGCCACGTCCCAGTAAGAATGGTCACCGTGGCTGCGATGGAGCCAAAGAGACATCGTGGGGAGAAGAAGATGTACAACTGCATAAATGCCAAATCCTGGGCCTTAAAATAAACACAATGATGGTTGTATGTTTTTGTTTACAAAGCCTATATGCACAGCAAAATTGCTAAGTTGTTCCAAGCTTGAGGCCAAAGAAAGCAGACTCTGAAACTTTTTTTTGTAGGAAGAGAGGGGTAAGCGGTTTTGGATGTAGCTGTCAGGTAGTATATGAACATTTAGCCAACTATTTACCTGCTGTCTTTCCCAGCAGGTCTACAGGAATATATAATTTTCCATTTCCTGGACACCAGACAAACATTTTCTGTAGCTTGGACATCGATAGAGTACTGCACCTCTTTATTTGTGCACTAAATGTAAGAGTGTGTTGAACATACTCTTACAAGATGCCTTTTGTCAACATAGAACAAATGCACTCTCTGGAACAACAGATCATGCTCTGAGAAAATGCCTTCCTATTCAAGAATGTCTCTAGAATGAATAAGACACTTCAGAGAAGTGGTTTAGGATTTTAAGAAGTTTGGGTGTGTACATACTCTTACAAGATGCCTTTTGTCAACACAGAACAAATGCACTCACTGGAACAACAGATCACGCTCTGAGAAAATCCCTTCCTATTCGAGAATGTCTCTGTGCAGCTCTAGAATGAATTAACACACTTCAGAGAAGTGGTTTGGGATTTTAAGAAGCTCGGGTGTGGGCTCTGCTAGCTCACATTTTATCAAGCCCTTTCATTACCAGGTGTCTTGGCAACGTCCCTCAGCAATTCAAAGAGCAGATCCAAAGTAGGAGGCTGGTGCTGGCGGGGACAGTTGGATATGGCAGTTGTTAACTCTTCCAGCAGAATAATCCAGACGTTGATAAGACCTACAAGTAAGGAAACAAAGATTAAAAGCCATGAGTGAGATACCGCATTGACCAGAGGTGGAACTTGCTTTCAGAAAGTGATGAAAGGCTAAGAAATTAATTAACTTAAAGATCATGGGTTCTTCCATGTTCAACTGTTGCTGTGTAATGGTTGTGGGCAGTATTAATTTTTGAAATGATGGTCTCCTTTTCCTTCCCTTTTTATTAAGTTTGTGTTTTGTCCCATCCTTCCTCCTACAAGTACATCTTGTTCTGGTCTTTCTTAATTTACTACTCCCACTAGTCTGGTCTCTTTAACCTTGGATGATTTTCTTAGTTTTGGACATTTTACACATCTTGCTACCATTGAAATGCTGCCCAGAATGGTTTGTACCCGTTTAGGTTACGCTATTAGTAAGGATCCTAAGGTGACTGGCCATCATTTAACTGTCTCTACTTGCTACTCAGACCTGAACAGTAACAGTACCTCGTGAAGTGTCATCAGGCTGCCTCAACATGTCATCTTTAGACATTAAGAGGTCACAGATAGAAGAGTATTAAATGTGGATATGGCAGAGCTGGACAACTACCAGAACAGCAGTTAGGATACAGGTAATGCTGTGAGTTCATATTTACATGAGCAAATATGTATCCCTAAAAGATTATGGGATACAACCAGTTTTCAATACCATTTTGAAGATGGTTAGGAATTGCTGCCTAGGAATTACAGAATCACAGAATCACAGAATTGTAGTGGTTGGAAGGGACCTCAGAGATCATCGAGTCCAACCACAAAAAAAAAAAAAACACCAAACAACACCAGCTTTTTCACTTAATTACTTGGTAGTTGCCCATGATATTATGAATGATGAAAAGGATCTTGCTTATTACACTCACAATGCTCCTGCAATATATGGTGTTAATCTGGAGTTAAGTTTGGCACGGAATCAGATACACTATGAAAACCCACTGCACCACCATATGGCAAAGCAGACTAAAACATTTTTGCCCCATCTTGTGGGACCACTGACTTGGGTCTCCTGCATCCCAGGTGAACATCCTAAAATATCCAGGGAGAATCCTAGTTCAGATATTCAGAAGTGACTGTATTGCTTTGAAGGGCCATCATGAGCCCAGCAGCTGCCAGGCTTCATTCCTCTCCTGCTTGGCTCCACACAGATCTAGTTCCTCAAACATCTAATTAATCCACAACCCATAAAAGCCACAAAAATAACCAGGAGACAAATGCTGCCTTTTTTTTTTCCTGGAGGTCACAGTGCTTTTTATGGACTTTAGAAATTCACCATTTGGTTCAACAGCCCACAGGATGTAAATTTGAAAACACATTTAAACAAGTATTCTTTATCTTTCTACACTGTAACTCAACATTGACATTTTTTTTCTGTTAAAGGCAGACCTGCCAATACCAACCTTAATAGGTTTTCATTCCTTTACTTCATCTGTGTGTAGAAAGTATTTTTGTGTTAATTCTCCAAAATGTATGTATATGCTTGTATTATAAATATCAGGGTAACTAAATATATGATTAATTAAAATATTATTATCTTTTCCCAAGAGAAGGGTTGTATTTTTAACATATATGTTAAAAGCTTTATCTTTTAACATAAAGAAGGTGATGTGACCTGAACTTCCAAGTTTTGTGTGCACACACTTGTGTGTAGACAACATGGAAACAGTAAACTATGAAGTTTTCCCCCTCCTTTTTGCTTTCAGCAGTTGGCAAAAATTTACAGCGACACGTGGAAGAAGCAGTTGATTAATTCTGCAATTACTGCTTTCAATGCACTCACTGGTGTCGTCGTCAAAGTCAGAGAGGATGCACTCAATCCCGTCCTCGCTGCTGGCCGACTGCTCCTGCACCCTTCGGGGCAAGTTCACCAGCCGGCCACTGAGAAAGATGGGTTTCAAGGGCATTTTATAGATTTTGGCTAACAACTGGGGGAGGAGAGAGAGAGAGAGAGAAGAAAAAAAAAAAAAAATATTATATGTATATATATGAGAAAGTTTGTAAAAGCTATCACATACAAAACACGTATGTAAAATAAGATAAAAACTATGAAAGCAGCATAATGCCAGCATCTGTTCTGTTAATCCAGCAATACTGTAAATGAAAAACAACAACTAGAGGCCACAAGTCTTCTGTTCATTGACAAATAAGGGGTCGAGAGGAGAAAACAAGGGAGAAAAGCAATTAAAATAATGTATTTTTGGGAAGGGAGTGTGCTCCCTCCTCATTTGTGAAAGACAAATGCTACTACTTACCAATTGCACCTATGACCTAAGAAGGTCCCTTAGCCTCACACAGAATATTTTGGAGCTCTGAAGGACTAAGTAAATAGTGATAAAAGGACCTGCACAGGAGAGAGAGAGAGAAGAAAAAAAAAAAAAAATATTATATGTATATATATGAGAAAGTTTGTAAAAGCTATCACATACAAAACACGTATGTAAAATAAGATAAAAACTATGAAAGCAGCATAATGCCAGCATCTGTTCTGTTAATCCAGCAATACTGTAAATGAAAAACAACAACTAGAGGCCACAAGTCTTCTGTTCATTGACAAATAAGGGGTCGAGAGGAGAAAACAAGGGAGAAAAGCAATTAAAATAATGTATTTTTGGGAAGGGAGTGTGCTCCCTCCTCATTTGTGAAAGACAAATGCTACTACTTACCAATTGCACCTATGACCTAAGAAGGTCCCTTAGCCTCACACAGAATATTTTGGAGCTCTGAAGGACTAAGTAAATAGTGATAAAAGGACCTGCACAGGTTTATTTCAGAGCTTCATTGCCTGGGCTGTTCACTACACAACAAATACAAACTTTGCAGAATTGTGCTATATATAGCTGGGATGCTACTGGTATGTTACAGACCCTTCTAAAATAAATCATCTATTTGCAATATAAAGACAGGATTTGTTTTCAGTCATTCCCATCCTCCTTCTACTGGCAAGATAAAAGGTGTAACGAGATAAAAACGTCACAAATAAGGGGTCGAGAGGAGAAAACAAGGGAGAAAAGCAATTAAAATAATGTATTTTTGGGAAGGGAGTGTGCTCCCTCCTCATTTGTGAAAGACAAATGCTACTACTTACCAATTGCACCTATGACCTAAGAAGGTCCCTTAGCCTCACACAGAATATTTTGGAGCTCTGAAGGACTAAGTAAATAGTGATAAAAGGACCTGCACAGGTTTATTTCAGAGCTTCATTGCCTGGGCTGTTCACTACACAACAAATACAAACTTTGCAGAATTGTGCTATATATAGCTGGGATGCTACTGGTATGTTACAGACCCTTCTAAAATAAATCATCTATTTGCAATATAAAGACAGGATTTGTTTTCAGTCATTCCCATCCTCCTTCTACTGGCAAGATAAAAGGTGTAACGAGATAAAAACGTCTGTTTTCTTTTAAAGAGGAGAAAATATTTCTGCCTCACTGTGTGGACCAGGGTTTGTATGGATGAGGAAGACTGATGGGGTGCACATAGTGTATAGATAGAACATACATTAGATATACACATGGATATTCACTAAATTATTGGAGGTGGATGAGATAGTGAGTGCAGTTTGATATGTCTGCTGTTTATTATTCTAAACTGCCTTATTCTTTCCATTTCCCCTCAGTCTGTGTACTGAATCCACCCATTATCTCTGAATTTAGACATTAAGTCCTTTCAGCTGTGTATATACCCTTTGTTGTGCATTTCTATCGTACCCAGAGAAAACCATGGTGAGGGTTGAACAAAAAGACCTGCAGGTACTACAACAATGCAAACAACATTATAAAATCAGACAAAAAACATTCTAATAACCCTGGATAATAATCTGTGCTGCGTGCCAGGAGATTACAGGGCACATGCCAGCATTCTGACTGTTAGAGATTAGCTCTGAGCTTCAGATGTGCCTTCATGGTACAGATAAGCTGCTGGTGCTGTGTTTTAGAGGGTGTAACCTGTTGCTCTTCTTAAGATCTGAGAATTCTCAGGGTTTGGGTTTGTTTTTCCCTTTCATTCCCAATGCTCTTTACAGTAACTGTATAAATAAGACTGAATGCAGCTTTGAGTAGGTTACTATTGGGTTTTGAACATTCACATTTTCTGACGTGCTCCTTGGGTCTGAGTGTTTTCCCAGTTTTCCTCCACAGATTCTGGTGTGCTCCTGCAAACCATCTAACCCTTGAAGCAAAAGCCTGGAGGTCAGGACTGTTTCCTGGGCCAGGTTAGTACCTGTATAAGAATTGTCCACCCTACCTGAGAACATCTCCTGAGGTAATCAAGGGCGGGAAGGCACAAGTCTGTGGATGCAGATCCTGATCCTGGCACACAGTCACCCATCTCCTTACAATCTACTTCCCCTGGCGATGGGAAGCAGAAAGGAAAGGGAATGGCAGCATTGGGAAGGGCAGAAGAGGAGAAACACAAACAATATTAGTTTTCCTTTATCATTCAGTCGTGCCCTAATGTCTGAAGAGAATCCAGAAAACATCCTTTGTTTGATCTTAGTAGACGAGAACCACGTGATTCTCATACAAACAACATGGTCACAGCACATACATGGACTTTTATATGAATTAATGCTTTAATAAATACGTGCCTATTTAAGAACTCTTTAGTAGGGCCTTTGGGAGTTCCTTTGCTCAGTTCATGTGCTGATTATTTTCCATTCATTTGCACCCCGTTGCTCTGGAAAATTTGTCTACCACAAGTTCTTCCTTCTAGTTTATTTACTCCTTAAATAAAGCAGGTCAGCTCCAAGGCATCTTTGTTGCAGAGCCTGGATAACTCCACTCACTCCAGCATCTTCCCTGTCTGCACAGTCTGTTTTCCTCCCCCCTCAACCAAATTTGAAGCTTTACTAAATGCTTATATACATTAACTTTTTATTGCCTTAAAAGCCACTCATCTCATAAAAAAAACATAAGATAAATATTAAATCCTTTTAGTAAATCCTACTTTATTCTCCTTTCACTACATTTATTTGCTCTTTCTATGCCCTTAACTATTCCCTCCATAATATAAAGTCTTGTCTGCTATTGAGATCTGCCAATGAAGTTTGAATTCTTTAGTTTTATGTTAAAATGCACATAAGTGGTATTATACTTGCTATTGCTCAGTACAGAAATATCTCATAGTCCCGCCAGCTTTTAATTAAAAAAAAAAATCTTTCTTTTTGACAGGTAACCATAAAGGGGACAAACTGATTTCATGAAGGTAAGAAACCTAAAAAAATATAAATTTATTACATTTTAAGTTCTCCAGAAGGAACATGAGTTCCCTCTATTGGTACTGGACATGTATCACAAGCTGAATTCTGCCCCTAGAGAAACTGATGGTGAAATAGCTTAAATAAGACAAAAGTAACATTAAAGACTGGATCTGCTGCAGTTGGGTACTTCATTTAAATCAAAGGGAGTCGCTTACGAACCTCGCTACCTCTGTGAATTAACATACCTGTATTAAAAAAAGCACCCCATTTTGCCACTCATTAGAAGTTTTGCAATTTACATAAGAAAAACTTAATCACCGCCACAGTTTAATAAAAAGTGTCTAATTCTAATGACCAAGGCAAGGCAGGGAACATGAAAACGGGGGGCAGAATGACCCAACACCATTTGCCTTTGTTCTGAAGTTTGATGAAGCACCACAATTACTCAGAGGGGTCACCTTGACTTGACACTCCTGGTCTCCACCGCCCTCAGTAACACCATGAAAAAACTAATCATGGGGACAGAGTGGTATTAATTACAACGCTCACGATCTCACTGAAGGTTCTGCAGGTTTCCAGCATTGCACGTGCCAAACTGGTGCTGCTGAGGTGGGCAAGGGTAGAAAGGAGCCGTGTGGCTTTGACCGCTGAACGTCAAACATACCCTGTTCTGTTTCAGGCAATCCATGCTGCCACTGCACAATGCCAGGTCAATCCTGCAATATTCTGTTGGGTTTTTTTTAATGTAAATGGATATAAGCAAGCCCTGATACAAATTAAGATCAAATGAAGCAGATATTTAATAGTGGGATGCATCTTTGCTGCCATAACAACCTGAAGAATTGAAAGCATTAAAAAGGTTTCTGCAATAATCCCTTGGTCTTGATTTTATTTTATTTTTTTAAGGCAATCTGGACTCCATTTCTTCACTCCCTCTCTCTTCCCTACCATTCCATGTATAACATAACCTAATTCTCCTCTTCCGCGGGATCAAGTTTGACACAACATGACTTAATAGGATAAAAGGAAAATAAAAAATATTTACCCAGTCCTTTGACAAACTTCATAAGGCACATAATATAACTGGTGGCGGCATTGGCAAAGACCTGGATGCTGTCTGTGTTTAGAAATGCTTCAAAGACATCAAACACCGGAGCTTGGCGTTTCCCTGTGGAAAGAATAAGATGAGAACTCTTCCCCATCCCCCAGAACGGTGATTTTCCAACAGTTTTGCAACAATTTAACTGAATCCGAAAATAAAAAATATTTACCCAGTCCTTTGACAAACTTCATAAGGCACATAATATAACTGGTGGCGGCATTGGCAAAGACCTGGATGCTGTCTGTGTTTAGAAATGCTTCAAAGACATCAAACACCGGAGCTTGGCGTTTCCCTGTGGAAAGAATAAGATGAGAACTCTTCCCCATCCCCCATAACAGTGATTTTCCAACAGTTTTGCAACAGTTTAACTGAATACATAGAATCTCTTCTCTTCTGGGCAGACACAGAAATAATCTCCTAAGTAAAATCTTCTCTTGCTCCTGAGGCAACTCGTGTAGCCCTTCCTAGGACGTAATACAGACTCCTTCCTTTGCCTTATCTATGGAAGATACAATCTTACACCTGCCAAAATGTTGAGCTCTTGGACTCGGCTCAGCAGCTAACACTTCCATTTGGTGGAGGTTTCTGGTTTAGTTCTTGATAACTGTCAAGATGACAGCAGTCACACGGAAAACTATTCAGACTATATAGTAACAAAATGGCCTCGCTTTTCCTAAGCAGATTATCAGTCTTCAAAAGCCCTTTACACTTGCATTTTGCCATCAATCCTAACAGATCTGAAAGACAAAATTTAGGAGGAAAACCATATCCCTTACAAATGACTTGTAACGTTTAGAAAAACCATCTAATGGGGCAAAAGGACGGATCAAGGTGATTTTCCTGTATTACCCGCTTTCTATACAAGCGAACATCTCTGGCAGGGATGGAGAATCATTCCTACAGCAAACATGGTTTGTAACAGTGCTAGCAATTTGAAGCCCTATGACTACGTGCCTGAACAAGCACTTGCCCAGATTATCACACAAATTTAGCCTTTAACGTTCATCTACAAGAAGAGATGGAAGGAGGATCCAGGGAACTACAGGCCTGTGTCAGTCTGACCTCTGTGCTGAGGAAGGTTATGGAGCAGATCATCTCGAATACCATCATGCAGCACGTAGAGGACAACCAGGTGATCAGGCCCAGCCAGTATGGGTTTATGAAAGGCAGGTCCTGCTGAACTAAGCTGATCTCCTTCTAAGACAAGGTGATTTGCTTAATGGTTGAAGGAAAGGCTGTGGACAATGTCAACCTAAGACTATAGTAAAGCCTTTGACACCATTTCCCACAGCATTCTCCTAGAGAAACTGGCTGCTCATGGCTTGGATGGGTGTACTCATCACTGGGTAAAAACTGGATGGAGGGCCAGGCTCGGAAAGTGGTGGTCAATGGAGTTAAATTCAGTTGGCAGCCAGTCACAAGTGATGTCCCCCTGGACTCAGTATTGGGGCCTGTCGGTCTCTTCTCCCAAGTCACAGGCAATAGGACAAGAGGAAGCGGCCTCAAGTTGCACCAAGGGAGGTTCAGATTGGATATTAGGAAAAATTTATTCTCTGAAAGGGTCGTCAAGCACTGGAAGAGGCTGCCCAGGGAAGTGGTTGAGTCATTGTTCCTGGAGGTATTTAAAAGAGGTGCAGATGTGGTGCTGAGGGACATGGTTTAGTGGCGGGCTTTGCAGTGCTAGGTTAATGGTTGGACTTGATAATCTTAAAGGTTTTTTCCAACCTAAATGATTCTATGATGATGTAGAGCAATAGGTTTCACACAGTAAAAAAGACAGTCCATGTGAGATATGGTGGTTGTATAGAATATGCTTTCCTTTCTCTAGCAGGACATCGTCAAGGCCAAGCTCAGTACTCCTGCACTACTGTTGTGCTCAAAACTATTCAAGTAGGTTTGAAGCATTTACTCCCCATTCTAGTCATCTGCCAGAATCTGGAGGATTTAAAAAGTCAGAACAATACCTTTGCTTTCCCTCTACCCCAACAATAAACCAGATACTTCAGTACAGTCGTAGAGTATTGCCACTGTTCAGGTAGGGCACTTAAATATATTGAGTTAGTTATTGTGTCCCCAAGGAGTAAGACAGGGAAACAAAAGGACATACGAAACAGTGAGTGCAGTAAGTCCTTACCCATAGAGTATTCTCCTACAAGGTACTCTTTAACCTCTGACTTGCTGCTGCTGTGAACCGTTTCCAGGGCACTGAACAGGGGTCTCCATCCCGACTGGATCTGGGTAGAACACATCTCCACCAACTCTCCTATCGAGGTGACCACCTGGAGACAGCGTAAGAGGTTAAAAGAATAAAACAAAAAACCAGAATCGATACATAGATGGACCTTCAGAAGGAATGAGGATGGCTTTAAACACATTCCTAGATTTCACTATGTCAGTTCAGACTACTTATTTTTTAGATAATTGAAAAGTTTTATTGAATTGCTTTAAAGCCAGGTATACTGTCTGCACTTTACCACAATGCTGGCTTAAGTAGGCAGAGCCCTCCTCATTCCCTGTAGATGAGTAAGATGCAGCATTTGAAGGGAATTTGGGAAACACTCTCAAGTGGAGCAAGTGCACTCCAGAGACCATCCAGCCATATACAGACACCCTGATCAGGGCTGACTTGCCTGGTCTTGGACATCCTCATCACACAGCTCCAGCTGCATGATACGCTCAAAGGGGCGGAAAAGCGCCTCATTAAAGTGAAAATGAGAAGGCTCATTCCAGTCCATCAACACTTCAGTGAGGATGTCATGGATGAAGGAGACAGCCTTCCGGGACACGTGTCTCTCCTTGTGACAAGCAGCCTGCAGGGAAAGGAAGAGTATTAGAGTTTCTCCAAGCAAAAAGAAAAAAAAATTGCTTTTACTGAGACAATTTTAAGGGAGATAATTGCTTCATGTTGCTTGAACCCTAAAAGCAGCTTCACCACTAACATGACTAGGGATCCCACTGCAATGAAAATGGGAGAGTACTGCCACGGAAACAGATGACTGAGAATCTGAGCTGCTTGAAGTCTCTCAGATGCCTGAAGGCTTGCCGTCAATTCAAAAAGCACAGAGCTAAAAATAAATCATAAACCCCTCAGAAGCCACTCCAACTATCCTTTGTTTCTATTGAATGACCATTTTTCCCTTCAAAAAATTCACCATACCTATCTATGCGTGGCCAAATGTCACTTAATATTTGGCTATTTATGGAACTTAAAAATGATGGGAATTTTATCACTTTGGAAGAGCTATTAAAAAATTAAATGCCAGTGCATCTGGATATAAAGATATTGTTTTGAGTAACTCTGCAGGTTATGCTGAATTCTGTCTTTTCCCTGATGTTGCTCCTTCCCAGTAATGCCCTCATCTGCACTGAAGCCAACCAAAGAGACTGACCAGCCCTTGCAATCTGAATAGATGGAAGGACCCTTTGACAGGAAGGGTAATGATAGAACAAGGGGAAACGGTTTTAAATTGGAAGAAAAAAGATTCAGATTAGATCTCAGGAAGAAATTCTTTACTGTGAGGGTGGTGAGACACTGGAAGAGGTTGCCCAGAGAAGCTGTGGCTGCCCCATCCCTGGAGGGGTTCAAGGCCAGGCTGGATGGGGCTTGGAGCAACCTGGTCTGGTGGGAGGTGTCCCTGCCCAGGGCAGGGGGGTTGGAACTGGATGATCTTTAAGGGCCCTTCCAACCCAAACCATTCCATGATTCTATGATCTTAAAAGGCTTAAAAATGTTCAAAACATGAAAAGTATTTACAGTGGTCTCAGGCTGGCATCCAAAGGCAAGTGAGACAGTAGCTTTCAAGATAAAGGGCTGTTAAAGCATACAACAAAAGTATTCTTTGCTATTTCTACTTCACTTTGAGGGATTCCACGGAGACTCCCCAACATCTGAACTCTGCTGTAAGACAGCCCACACATTTTCTTGAGTCAATGAAATGAAGTGCTGTGGCAATTTACTGAACAGCTCATCTTAAAACTCCAGAGCTCATCTTAAAACTCCAGAGAAGCATGCTCCCAATAAATCTGGGCATGTGACACCACACACCTCACCAAGAGAAAGAAAGAAGTACTGCACATTTATTCATACCAACCATACAAATCAAAAAGCTTTGAGAATTCCAGACAGCAGCATTTCATCAGATAAGACTGAGAGTTTGGTTGAGGAGAGGTCATTTGTTATGACTGAAATCCACTATGTGGCTGCTACTGGCATGTCACTCACCAGAGTTCACAAGGAATCACAGAATCATCTAGGCTGGAAGAGACCCTCGGGATCATCAAGTCAACCATCCATCCTACTCTAAAGTTCTCCCCTACACCATATCCCCCAACACCACATCTAAACGGTTCTTAAACACAGCCAGGGATGGTGACTCAACCACCTCCCTGGGCAGCCTGTTCCAATGCCCCACCACTCTCTCTGTGAAGAATGGTTTCCTAATGTCCAGTCTAAACCTACCCTGCTGCAACTTGAAGCCAAGGAAGGAGAAGGAAAGGGAAAAATCATAGAATCATAGAATTGCCCAGGCCGGAAGGGACCTCCAAAGGCCATCTAGTCCGACCTCCCCGCAGTCAGCAGGGACACCCCCAACTAGACCAGGTTGCCCAGGGCCTCGTCGAGCCTCACCTTGAATATCTCCAGGGATGGGGCCTCAACCACCTCCCTGGGCAACCTGTTCCAGTGCTCCACAACCCTCACAGTAAAGAACCCTCTCCTAAAAATGTCACCGCCTTCCCAGTTGAACTGGCTGTATGTGGAAAAATAAATCCTTTTATGGGAAGACTTGCAAGGATGCAGCCCTTGACTGGGAAAGCAGGTAGATGGAGGAGTTTCTTGAAACTCTTCTTCTTTGGAGATTTTCAAAACCCGCCTGGATGTAGTCCTGAGTAACATGCTCTAGCTCTAGGCAATCCTGCTTCAGCAGGGGAGTTGGACTAGATGATCTCTATGGTCCCTTCCAACTCTAGAAATTCAGTGAAATTCAGTGAAAATTCTTCTAACCTCTGAAGGTGGCTTCAGTTTTTTCACCACAGGCACATGGGAACTATCACATTGCAAAAATCCAACACCCCATCCCTGGATCTGCCCATTTCAGTTATTTAAAAGTGCACCACAACATCTGATACACGTTTTAAGAGCTATCAAAGACTTCTCCAGCTTTCTCAGCTTTGTCATCCCTTGCACACATTCCCCTTTTGTCCCCCCAACCTACCTCTACGAGGTGAGGTGCCACCAGGCTCCAGCAGCGCATGAGGTGGAGCAACGGGCGAGATTTACTCCTTACAATCCTGAGCATGGCATCACCGAGTCGGAACAAGTGAAGTGCACTTCTTCTGTCCTGGGTAGATTTTACTTCACCTACAAGAAAGTACAAGAAAATAAATGGAAGCTAAGCAACAGCAGCTCCTCCCTCTCTAGATGTCTAAATTGGAATTTAAATGAAGTTAAACATTATTAATTTGTGGGGGAGGAGGGGAAAGGGAGAGGAAAACACAGAAAAAAGAAAAAAATAAATCAATGTAAAACACAGCCTATGCCTGTGTAGGCAAGACAGCAGGAGATGGACCCAAGTTTTAAGAACAACTTATTAAACACACTTTATTTTGATTTAAGTGATCAATTTTTTTGAGAAAACATTTTTAAAGACTAAAGTTTGGAGAAGTAGTGCAGAAAAGTTAAGCAAGGAGTTAAATAATTGACATTAAGGCCCAAAATAGTAGTTGCAAAAACTTTTGGTCACATCTACAGGAGAAAATATAAACTGAAAATTGTTTAGTTTTGGGTTTTAGTTTTGTATTTCTTATCAAGCAAAGGATGAGAAGCAAAGAATGTGAGAAAATGCTTTTCTGTTCCCCAGGCAGTAATAGTCATTATTTCTTATTGAAAGGAATTAATCTTCTGTTGCTCTTAAAACATTTGGAAAGACACTTCATTCTCTCATTTAAAATATGCTGGTGCTTTTATCTCTAACGAAGTATGTCATCAGGGGGCATACCACTTTTAAGATTAAAAAATGCAATTAATTGCTTTATCCTAATTTTAATTTCATTATTACTAACTACTGTTGACTGACTACTAAATACATGATAAGAGGGTTACCATTTATTAAAAATAAAGTGATTAATGTTAAAGCCTAAAGACAAGCAAGAGCAAAACCGAACAATTTGAAGTGTCATATTGAGAAAATGACATGTAGCACTTCAGGGAGAGGGGGAAAACAACTAAATTTGAGACATATAACAAATAAAATCCACATCTGCCACAGAACAGGAAAAAAGCCCGTATGACTAATATAACTTCTAAAGGCACAGTACAAATTTAAGTGAAATATCTTCCTTTGGGTCCAATCCTTCTGCTCTGTTTGAGACAGTGATAGAAATGACAATTTACAGGTGTTGTACTGTAAAGTACATGCCCCACTGCTGGGGAAGAGCAAATGGAATAAATCCCACTGCTTTATCTCACATTCCTCAGTTGTGTGCTTTGTTTGCTGTCACCCATTTTCTGAATACTTCTGAGGTTATCCTGCTGTCAAACATCTAACCTAAATCCACTGTCTTAGGTCTACATTCACCCAAGTTTCCTTCCTGAATCGGGCTCCAAAATAGAGCTGTGATTAAATATTTGTGGATAATTAACACCCCCCAGAGTCCAAGAACCAAATGAATGTCCTCTGCAGTGTTTCACAGCAGGTGTGGACGTGGTCCCCCATCCAAAAAAGCACCCAACCTTTTCAAAAGACTTTGTGAACTTCTCCTACAGAAAGATCTCATGAGACTAAATACTGTGTTTTATTTATTCCTGGGAATTCAGTTAGAAAAATTAGAACTGTAAGAATACAAAACAAGTCCTGTACACAATACAGTTGTACATGAAACACAGAACTCTGTAAGGGATCTTCTGGTGATTTACCTGGCATTGCGAGGGAGTAATCAACTGTATCTGTGACTGAATGGAAAAGCTGGGCCTGAGAAGCCTTCTTCAGCTGGTAAAGGAAGCCTGCCAGTGCCATCAAGTTTAACTTGTCAGCAGCATCTTCAAAGAGTCTGTGAGTAAAAGAACATAATCTAATTGAAAACTTCATGAGATGCAGATTTAAATCTGTATGTAAGAGGAAAACTCTTAGCTGTACATGGCTGTTACGTGTTGCCTTTGATGACAACATTGGGTTACCAAGGGCTTTTTCATTTATACAGTGCTGCAGAAAGATATTGATCCAGAAGCTTTATTGATTGATGGGTGGAAAGTAGAGTGATGATCAACCTGAACCCTTCCAAGATTCAACCGTGGTGCTAAAACAAAAGTCACTTTTTCAAGGAATCAGCACCTTCCCATCACTGTGTCTCACTGCTATAAGCAGTTCATGAACCAGCAATCAAAAAAACAGGGAAATTATTTCCAGTCCTCACAACACAGATCATCATAGCTCCGCTGACTTTAGAGTTACACCAGTTCACTACATGATCAACCTGAACCCTTCCAAGATTCAACTGTGGTGCTAAAACAAAAAGTCACTTTTTCAAGGAACCAACACCTTCCCATCACCGTGTCTCACTGCTATAAGCAGTTCATGAATCAGCAATCAAAAAAACAGGGAGACTATTTCCAGTCCTCACAACAGAGATCATCATAGCTCCGCTGACTTTAGTTACATCAGTTCACTATATCTAAAGTTACAGCCCCTTACATGAAAAACAAATTATTTCAAGTCTTAGACCTAAAGTTGCTGTACCTGAATTGATGTTTAGGAATAGAAACAAGAGTTGTTATTTTCAGCTGCAACGAGTTCTTAAGATTTAAAACTTGAAGTCTGTACCCTCAAAAGAGTAAACTTATGCTTACACAGGAGATAGATTCCACAGAGATCACAGTGAATTTCCACACTGTGCAGCTACAGGTCAACACGAATATAATTTTCATGAAGAAAAGGGTATTAGAGGTATGCAAACTCAGGAAATTTTCAACTCTGGCCTGGGCTGCCGAAAGAATAGCAGAAATAGCAAAAAAGTCTGTGACATATCAGTCTGCAGACCACATTGTAGGCCCATTTCACCTAGCTATTCCGTGACCATGCTTGGTGGACCTTCCTCCTCCAGACACGTTGGGGCTGGCCACAAAGTTCCAACAGCTGGCAGGACAAGACACTCACCTATTTTGTCTGCTTTAATAAATGTAACAGATTAATTTACACGCAAGCAATAAATCCACCAGTCTGAGGATGCATTTGATTCCTTTTTTACCTGTCAGCTTGCGTGGAGAGTGTGAGAACAGCCTTGGCAGCGCTGGTCCCACACAGCAGGCTGCCTCCACGGAAGTCAAAAGCTCTGCCCTTACTGCTCTCCTTGATGAGTTCCTGGATAGAAACGGGCTGAATGACAGGATTGCTGCTGAGGGTGGTCTCCTGCTCGGGGGTCAGCACCTGGGGAGAGTCCCCAGGCTGGGGGTCTGGGTGCAGCCCTGTGTGTGCCTGCTGCGACTGGGTGATGGTGAGGGAGGGCTGGGAAGCACCATCACTGAAGTGGGTGTGCTCCAGCGTGCTGATGTACTCGCACACGAGAGTGTGAGAACAGCCTTGGCAGCGCTGGTCCCACACAGCAGGCTGCCTCCACGGAAGTCAAAAGCTCTGCCTTTACTGCTCTCCTTGATGAGTTCCTGGATAGAAACGGGCTGAATGACAGGATTGCTGCTGAGGGTGGTCTCCTGCTCGGGGGTCAGCACCTGGGGAGAGTCCCCAGGCTGGGGGTCTGGGTGCAGCCCTGTGTGTGCCTGCTGTGACTGGGTGATGGTGAGGGAGGGCTGGGAAGCACCATCACTGAAGTGGGTGTGCTCCAGCGTGCTGATGTACTCACACACCCTGAGAAGAAAGAGGAGAAGCAAAAGATGAATAAACTCCCCCCAAACCCAAGAGTTCCTCCCCCAGCCAATCACCAGGCTGAAATGCTGGGATCTGTACTCCAGAGGTGATTCTACAGCCCCATTGCTGAGAGAAGGCAGCTTACGTGGAAACCCACTGCCAATCTGCAGGCACCAATTTCTACATCTAAACCAGCTACAATGCACTGGACGTTCTCCTCAAACCATAAATAGCCAATCTCTAACTCAGTCTACACATAGATAACCTGTCTTCTTACATGTGTTGGACTCCCATGTGCCTAGAAAGCAAATAGTTCAGTGGAGGTGCCTGAAGAGCCCATTTAGTTTCCTGGGTCTGTCACTTCTGGTAACTTTGAAGCTTCCTAAGCAGATTTTGTCTCATAATAGTGGTGAAAAACAGCACCGTCCCACCTGGAGTGTTGTGTCCAGCTTTGGAGTCCTCAACACAGGAAGAACATGGACCTGTTGGACCAGGTCCAGCGGAGGGCCATGAAGATGATCAGGGGGATGGAGCACCTGCCCTATGAGGACAGACTGAGAGAGCTGGGGTTGTTCAGCCTGGAGAAGGCTCAGGAGAGACCTTATAGTAGCCTTCCAATATCTGAAGGGAGCTACAGGAGAGATGGGGAGGGACTCTTGATCAGTGAGGGCAGTGACAGGATGAGGGGTAATGGTTTTAAGTTGAAAGAGGGGAGATTTAGATTAGATATTGGGAAGAAATTCTTTCCTGTGAGGGTGGTGAGGCACTGGAAGAGGTTGCCCAGAGAAGGTGTGGCTGCCCCATCCCTGGAGGGGTTCAAGGCCAGGCTGGATGGGGCTTGGAGCAACCTGGTCTGGTGGGAGATGGTTGGAACTGGATGATCTTTAAGGTCCCTTCCAACTCTAACCCTTCTATGATTCTTTTAGATACTGATTCTTTTAGATACTGATGGTTAAAACTCTGACACTGTTTATACAGAACACCCCCAGAGCACGTGAAGTCCTTTTTTTCAGTCCCATTCCTTTCAGGCAACATGGCATCAGTTCTGTTTCCTTCGGGAAAGCTGGCGAGTACCTGAACACATGAGGCCAACAGTCCTGATTGTGGCTCCCCATCTCCAGGCCCACGTTAAGGACTGCATCCATACACAAAACATGAGCTGTGTGCAGGCAGACTCCCTGCACTTTCCCCATCTGCTCCAGTTTCTGCTCCACTTTCTGTTTCACTGCAGCACGAAAAACAAAAATAAAAAACCAGCACATTAGCTTGTCCAGCTTTTAAACAAACACTTGTCTGCATATAGAGTGATGGCAAAGGAATGCAGTCCGAAATCTATAAAAGAATGTGGATTTTAGACAAACAACAAATCAGAGAAACCCATTTCCTCCTAATAAACATAAGGCAGTTTTAAAATTAAAATTCCTTTTGATTGACATCTTCTATGCATGAAAAAAAATAAAAATCAATTCCAGATTGACACCCTCCACCCCCAAATTCACATCTTGCTGCCCACAGAACAGATGCAGATTGCTAGTGATATTATATGTTTCTCTTTGGAGCTGGTTGGCTGGCTATTTATGATTTTTACCAAAATCTCCTTTTCTACGGAAACAAAAATAAGTTTGCAGATTTCACAACTATTTCCATACAAACGTTTCACCAAAGAACTTTTTCTAATGGACACTCTTGTCAAAGCAAAACTAATCCTGGTCTGAACTACAAGCATTTGGACCTCATTCATTTTCCTGAGAATCTCCGAAAAGGTTAGTTTTCATACTGCATTGGAATGGAAACAAATTCTGAAGCTTTGCAAGCTTTCACAGAACAGATCTGTTGGCCTGTGGCCACTGCTACTGCCACTTCTTTCCTCCAGTGTATCCTGGCCAACTCGCTTCAGTCATTTCTAGCAGAGTGATCAAAAAGCCAGTTTGTGCTCAGGCCTGCTCAGTTTTGTTTTCTCTATTCAGACACCAAATTTAAGTGCCAAGCAGGGTGATTTGTGCAACGCCGTGTTTTGTTACGGGCTTCTCGCCATTAGAATTCAGATGTCATCAGACACATTTTAGGTGCCTCTCCAAACAGCCACTGGAGACAAAAATTGACTTTACTGACTTCCACTGGGGTTGAAGCAGCGGTATAGAGATGCAGAACTTTTTACATGTTACACACGTATAATTTTTTTATTCCAGCCTCATTTAAGATGATTCAGAAACAGTTTTAAATATCTGATGATGACAAAAGACAGCCAAGGATGTATATGCAAGACAGGAAGAAGGATGCAAACTAGGCTTATATTACTACCCAACACTTTGAAAAAAAATATTGTTTTTCTGATGCCCTCTGGTTCAGGAAGAAATTTTTTACTATGAGGGTGGTGAGACACTGGAACAGGTTGCCCAGGGAAGTTGTGGCTGCCCCATCCCTGGAAGTGTGTTCAAGGCCAGGCTGGATGGGGCTTGGAGCAACCTGGTCTGGTGGGAGGTGTCCCTGCCCAGGGCAGGGGGTTGGAACTAGATGATCTTTGAGGTCCCTTCCAACCCAAACCATTCTGTGAT